GGAAGAAGAGGAAGAGGAAGAGGAAGAGGAAGAGGAAATGGAAGAGGAAGAAGAAGAGGAAAAGAATGAGGAGGAAGGAGAAGAAAAGGATGAAGAAGGAAAAAGGAGACGGAGAAAAGAAAAGAAAAGTGGAAGATAATAAAAAAGAAAAAGAAAAGCCATATTGGAAAATGTAAAAGGAAATAGTTGAGTTTGATGATTAGGAGGAGGAGGAGGATAGAGAAGAAGAGGTAGAACAAAATTAAGAGGAAGAACAGTAAAAAGAAAATCAGGGAACAATAAACAGATGGGAGAAAATTCATCTTGCAGAAAATATATGCGCCCCCTGCGACCCCCCCTGGGGGGGGCTGCCGCCCCCCAACCCCCGCCGAAGAAACAAAACCTCCACCACGTATTCACGGCAGGATAGAGCGCACACGAACTAGATGCGGAGCCGATAACCTACAATAACCTAGGATTTTTATGGTACTAACCTGATTTATTAATGCCGCTAATTACTAGGGAGGGTGCTCCTTTGCCGCAAAATGTGAAGGAGGCAGGGTGCTTTGAGATTGCGCAAAGAAAGAGCCCACAAACATCGAAGCAGACCAGTCACACCTCTGCCTCTTCTGCTTCCTGACCGCCACGGCTCTATCACACCTGAATCTTTTCTTCTTCAGGTCTAGGCGTGCTGGCTGCCCGCACCTGCCGCAATCTTTCTCACGACGAAGGAGGCCGTGGCGGAAGCACATATCTAGCATTTTTTCTTGGCTAATGGCAATCTCGCGCAGAAAATCCGTCTCGGAGTACGAGCACCCTCCACACTCGGCCATCGTGGCGACTATGACTGACTTCTGAACGCGACGGTTATTTCGGTTAGGAATACGAATGTCGTTATTCTAGAGGAAGGGAAACTCGACTTTGAGGCCATCGGTGTAACATCGAAAAAGGCGCAAAACCCGCCGACGAGGGCGGGCCACCGTGTTTATCCTGATTATACTACAATCGTCTCTATATACAATGCTGACTATAATAAGGTTAATATGCTGATTCAGTGAGAATCTTACAAGGTAATACGCCCCCTGCTCTGACATCGACGATGATTGTGTAACGCTCTAGCCTGCCGTGGAGGTTTTGTTTCCTCGGCGGGTTGGGGGGGGGGGGGGGAAGCAATGGAAAGTTATGTGAATAACCATGGTTATTATGGAAAGTTATGTGAATAACCATGGTTATTTTCACTGTGCGTTATATTATTAGTGCTATTTAGCCCCGCATTTTCCCTGGAACCTTCCATACCCTCCCCTGCTATCGGGGCCAAGTTTGTCGCTAACGGGGGGTTAGCGCGCAATAAAACCTATCTATTTGCATTGTATAGAGTGAGAGGAATCCAACGATACCAAAATCATCGATATCGGTCATGCGGACGTAATATAGAAAATTACCAATATATCATACAAAAATAGCAAAAATATGCAATATCTGAAAGAGGGAGAGAAAAAAAGTATATACTGACCTTACTATCACTACTGACTCTCCTATAAATATGTGGATTAACTGAGCTTGCAATAAACATATGGATTAACTGAACTTCCTATAAATATATGCATTAACTGAACCTACCACAATGCCATATTGGTTGTAAATGAAGTTATTGTGCACTTCCTCTTCCCCTCGGATCAAGTCCAGCCTCTTGGTCATCTTGGGAGCCCTAATGCCGGCAGGGAACTGGGGCACCCTTTCGAAGAACCGTAGTTTCTGACGCTCCTTGGGGATCTCGATGTCTGTTTGGGAAGGGACAGGATGAAATAAGACAGGGATTGGAGAGATGAAGGGGGGAATTTGGAAGGAGGGAGGAGAGAGAAGGGAGGAATAGAAGGAGGGAGGAGAGAGAAGGGAGGAATAGAAGGAGGGAGGAAAGAAAAGGGACAGAGTTATGGAAAGAGGGAGGAGAAAAAAGGGAGTGAGTTATAGAAGGAGGGATAGGAGGAAGGAGGAAAGAGAAGGGAGGAATAGAAGGAAGGAGGAGAGAGAGGGGAGGAACAGAAGGAGGGAGGAAAGAAAAGGGACAGAGTTATGGAAGGAAGGAAGAGAAAAAAGGGAGTGAGTTATAGAAGGAGGGATAGGAGGAGGGATGGAAGGAGGGAGGAAAGAGAAGGGAGGAATAGAAGGAGGGAGGAGAGAGAAGGAAGGAATAGGAGGGATAGGAGGAGGGATGGAAGGAGGGAGGAAAGAGAAGGGTGGAATAGGAGGGAGGAGAGAGAAGGGAGGAAAGAAAAGGGGCAGAGTTATGGAAGGAAGGAAGAGAAAAAAGGGAGTGAGTTATAGAAGGAGGGATAGGAGGAGGGATGGAAGGAGGGAGGAAAGAGAAGAAGAAATGAAAGGAAAGAGGAGAGAGAGAGGAAGAGTAAAGAGAATAAAATGTTACATGGGGATGAGAAAGGGAAAGCAGGGATGGAATCAATAGGAGGAAGGGCAAGAAAATGGAAGACATGGAGGAAAGGAGGGAAGGGGAAAGGATAGAATGGGAGAGGAGAGGAAACAATGGGAGGGGAAGGAAGAGGAGGTGAGGGGGGTTAAAGTGTGAGGGGGGTTAAAGTGTGAGGTAGGGATTGATGGGAGGAGGAGGACAGGTGCAGGGGAAAAGGGGAGGGGGAGGAGGGTGGTGAAAAAGAGAGAAGTAAGAGGCAGAAAGGAAAGGGGTAACGAGAAGAAAACTGTATTTAGCAACATTTTTTTGGCAGTATCTAAGAGAACTACATTAAGTATATGCAAATACAGTCTACTACTACTACTAATATTACTATTACCACTATTACTACTAACAGCAATAGCTGTACTTAGAATAACAACAACTATAATAATAATAATAATAATAATAATAATAATAATAATAATAATAATAATAATAATAATAAGAATAAGAATAACAACAATGATAATAGCAATAATAATAATAATAATAATAATAATATGATAATAATAATAATAATAATAATAATAATAATAATAATAACAATACTGATAACAATAATAATAATAATAACAATGGTGATAATAATGATGATAATGATAATAATAATGATAATAATAGTAGTCATACTACTACTACTAATACTACTACTACATCTACTACTACCACTATGTCTACTACGTCTACTACGTCTACTACGTCTACTACTACTACTACTACGTCTACTACTACTACTACTACTACTACTACTACTACTACTACTACTACTACTACTACTACTACTACTACTACTACTACTACTAACACTAACAATAATCATAATAACAATAATAATAATAATAATAACATTAATCATAATAATAATATAATTATTAACAATCATTTGATTAATAGTTTTAACAATAATTACAATAATAAATCAAATATCAAAAAATTAACTTCAATTAATTCAAGATTACACACAAAGCTACACATTCAGAAACCCACTAAATTAGCTCATTCTTACCGTCATAATCTGGTGGCGCTGGAAAATTCTTGAAGCCCGCCTTCTGAATCCATGGCAAGGCTGGAAAAACAATGCCGTTTATGAGCAATGGTATTAACTATTGAAATAACATTCGGTGCTGAAACACAAATATCACACACACAAGAACATGCGGACAGTGCCATATGACCTTCAGCTTTGAATGGAATTTAAATGTTGCCGGTCCATCTCCCCTCCCTAGTTCAAATTCTTGCCCCTCATTCTTACTCAATTTAAGTAGGTCAAAAAATTTTGGTCAAGCACAAATCTCAGAAACTTGCCATGGTCACAGGTAAAATGCAATAGCAATATTCTTTGTCATTTTTACCATTGTCTCATGGCATCTTTTGTATTTCATTTGTTTCTAAAAATACACTCGCACATGGTACTATACTATCCTCTTTGTGTGAAAACTTTAAAATGGTCAACCACAAGTACAAACACAGTAATGTGTACACAAAAATTATAATAAAAACAGCCACCGTATCTTTTGATCTCTTACTGTAACTGTCTTTGGTTTCATTTAGAACAGTTGTTCATAAAGCTTTGGTCACACTCAAATAGGGATTACAGAAATGCTCCTATGGGTTGCACGATGATTTGAAAAAAAGGAAATAAACGTGAAGTGACAAATTTTATATGCAAGAAGTTATTATTTTCGTTTTCTCTATCAACAATGAAAGTATAAAAAGTGATGATATCTGAATTAAGAGAGAGAAAAGTTTGTAAAATTGTTTCAGCTCCGAGAATCATCACACCAAACAATTTACGTTCAGTTGTACACCAAAGTTCTGGGAGAGCTACTTTATACATAATTCCTCCCTTTCTATTTCAAAATACTTATAAGCCATGAAAGATTGTTTCTACTAAATCAGGATTAGGAGGATTAGGATGAGGAGAGGGAGGAGAGGGAGGAGGAGGAAGATGAGGAAGATGATGATGATGATGATGATGATGAGGAGGAGGAGGAGGAGGAAGAAGAAGAGGAGGAGGAGGAAGAAGAGGAGGAGGAGGAGGAGGAGGAGGAGGAAGAGGAGGAGGAGCAGGAAGAGGAGGAGGAGGAGGAGGAGGAGGAGGAGGAGGAGGAGGAGAGGAAGAGGAAGAGGAAGAGAAGAAGAAAAGAAGAAGAAGAAGAAGAAGAGGGAGGGAGGAGGGAGAGAGGGAGGGAGGGAGGGAGGGAGGAGGAAGGAAGGAAGGAAGGAGGGAGGAGGAAAGGAAAGGAAGGAAGGGAGGGAGGGAGAAAGGAAAGGAAAAGGAAGGGAAGGAGGGAGGAAGGAAGGGAAGGAAGGAGGAAGGGAAAGAAGGGAAGGAGAGAAAGAGTAAAGGGGGAGGATAGTGAGAAGGGATGGGGGTGGAGGAGGAGGGAAGGAAGGGGAGGGAGGGGTGGGAGGAGTAAAGAGGAGGGGAAGAAGGAGGAGGTAAAAGGTGGAGAGGGGAGAGGGGACAAGAACATATATAACACTAATATCCCTCTTTGTCCTAATAATGTTACATCTCAGAGAAAAGGTACTTGAATAAGAGACAGTAAATATTTCTTTTATTTACTATACTCATCACAAAGAGCTACATATATGATACAACAAACATCTTTGCTACATCTATACAAAGGCAATTGAAGGAATCCACATAAAAATATACAAATAGAATATATCATCAACTGACAATCAAGTATTATTCATACAACTATATATAAACCAACACACAAGTCCTTTAGTAGTAGACAGCCTATCTATATAAAGATATCAAATATACTATTGAAAAAAGAGAGATAAAAAGGATATCCTTTCTTTTTTCATTGACCCGTTTGAAACCAAAAATACAATCCACTTAATAATCACGTCCTAAAAAAAAAAAAAAAAAAAAAAAAAAAAAAAAAAAAAAAATCAAATTCTAAGGTCGTCACTTCTTCAGATGTGTATTTTGAGTTGCAACTCACATTAATGAACAAGTGTGATACCCTTAATTATGAACATTATATACAAAGTCAAATAATAAATCCTCTCTACAAAAGTTTTCTGTCATCATGTTTCAGCAAATCAATATGTTCTTGAAGAAGATAATCAGCTGCATCTCCTGGGGACACTGCACCTACGACAACTTCCCTTTCAATTTCTTCTACACTCCGTTTCATTCCAGGGGAGTTCAAAAACACATGGATCAAGTTATCCTTGAGATGGGTCCACAGCCAAGCCCGTCTTTGATCCTGCCTACGCCTTAAGTATTCGCCGCTTTCCTCCATGGTTATGCGATATTTTTGCATAAGATCCCACAATTCTGGAACCCCTTCGCCTGTCTGTGAGGATATTCGCTTCACTGGGGTTTTCCAGTATATGTTCTTGGGCCTTATAAACTTCAAGGCAGATATGTACTCGTACTGCATACGCCTTGCAGCAGGCACAAGGTCCCCATCACTTTTGTTGACTACTATGAGGTCACTCATTTCCATAATACCTCTTTTTAGACCTTGTAACTCATCTCCACCTCCAGGAGGGATGAGAAGAGTAAAAAGATCAACCATATCTACAACAGAAAATTCACTCTGACCAACACCAATGGTTTCTACAATCACTATATCAAATCCTGCAGCTTCGCAAAGGACAATAGCCTCATTGGTTGACCTTGTGACACCCCCTAAGTGACCTCGGGAGGGTGAGGGTCTAATATAAGCATTCATATCTCGGGAAAGTTCGTGCATCCTTGTTTTATCACCTAAAAGGGAGCCTCCTGTGGTGACCGATGAGGGATCAACTGCTAGTACTGCTACTTTGTGTCCACGAGCAGTTAAGAACTTTCCAAGGGTCTCTATGAAAGTGGACTTCCCTGCTCCTGGGGGACCTGACAAACCAAGGCGAAAGCTTAGGGCCTTTGTGCCTTTTCGGTACTGAGTCTCCGTGGCCTCCTGCAATACTGCACTCAATAGCTGTCTGGCTTGTAGTTTCTTCTTTGGATGAGATGTTTCAACTAGTGTAATAGACTCTGCCAAACTTGCTCGTTGACCTGCATGAAGACCCTTGAGTAACCGTGCCACCAACGGATCCAATGTCCCTGAAGAACAGGACTAGTTTAGGGTGTCTCACATAACAAACTATGTAGTCTACAAAAAAATGCAATAGTAAATCCTAAGATACATTTCAAGAAACTTTTGGGTAAAACAGCAACTACCAAGACACACTAAACTAGTCAACAGTTCAATTTAGTTTCATACCCTTTATTGGCAATATTTTTCATGTTGTACAATGTATAGCTAGTTCAGTGCATATACTGAAAGTTACTCTGATAGTGATTGAATCAATCATAAATTCACATGGCAAAAAACTTTAAAATAAATCAAATATTAAACTGATGTCATCAATTTTACAGATCCTAAATATCATAATCAAAACTCTTCATCTAATATTTCCTATGCAGAAACAGGAAACACAGGAAAATCAGATCTTGAATGGGTTACTGCAGAATCATTTTAGAATGCAGTACTTTAGTTACACATACAATACCATGCACAGACATAATATCTGATGTCCCAAGACTTACATAAATTCTAGTGCAAAAGCACTACAACATATTCATAACTGAGAGCAGGTCATGTCTAAAACGTAACATTTGTCAACATTAAACTGCTATCATCATACCATAATAACAAAATAAAAAAGAAAAATTAATCATTTACGATTTGGGAGGAGAAGGGCTCCACTTCCTATATTGAGATTCCAGAGCCAGCAGAAATGTCATCTGATGGCTCTACCATGACAGTGGCAATTTCCCTACTGAACATATGTCATATCCTTCATGCCTAAGGTACTTATGCAAGGGCAAAAGCAAAAGTTACCACATATATATTCTACTATAATAAATCTTGAACTGGTTCTTTACTTGATGATGAAAAGCTAAGGCAGTTTACCAGCTCCATTTTTCTAGAATAAATGTGGTTCAGTTACAATGGCCATTTGACAAAGTTAACTGCAACTACATAACACAACAATAATAAAGTTACTGATATCATCGTGATAGTTGTCTTCATTAACTAAAACTACTGTTTGTATCTAGACATTCTATGCATGTCATCCATTGACACCAATTTTGTCATTATTATTTATGTATTACTATAGCACAAAATTATTAGTTAATTACAAATTTCAAAATGGAAGACTTGTCAAATACTGGTGTGTTTTTCTTCTACAATTTCATCATTATCTGAGACATATGTAATGTCCACTAAAATATCTGGCATTGCTTGGCAAGTTTCATCCAGCCACACCCGTGACATCACATCCACACACCCATTCCCTTTCTAAGCCTTCCTTTTCCCTCAGCCAATCATGCAGTAATATTCTCCTGTCTTTTTCTTCTTGTGATTGGAATATAGGGAGTATGAATAAGCATTTCATCCAGCCACAGCCCAGATTTTTTTCTCCTCTCACTCATTCACACTCCACATACCATATTATTCATCTGATACATGACAACGAAACATATTTTATGATAAGATGGGGGACATGTGGGAAATTTGGCTCGTCTTTACGAAAAATTTTACTTTCTTTACAAATGTCAAATCAAAGCTTGCTAAGGGGGTGGGGGTGCCCCCACCCCCAAAAAACCCAAATTCCCCACATGTCCCCTAAAATTGTAGGGGATAGGGGGAAATATAGAATTACCAAATTTACTTTTGGAAACAATAAATCAGGTCAGAAATTCTATACTATAAGTCCCCAACTCCAAATCACAATTTTTTCAACAATTGAAGTTGATGTGACTGGGCATGCACTTCAAGGCACTGCCTAAAGCCTTCACCTCAGTATGTATGACAAGACTGATATCAGGAACACAGAGTGAACTTATACTGTGAGTATCACTTTACGCAATTAATTTTTCCCTTTATATGTGGCATTACTCTGTGCAGATTATTTACTGTACGAATGATTGCAATTTTTTCTGGCCTCTTTAAGAATATCCACATCAATCTTTGTGTGTCCATATCATAAAGATCAATCATCAGGTCCTTTTAACAATTGGGGAGGGAGACAAGTTGCTTGCAGCTTTTAAGGGTTAAGAGTGCTACTGACATTTTAAAGAATCTGAGTAGGCAAAGAATAACATCAGAAATAAAGAATATATGTTACAACTAATGCCCTACCAAAAGTACGTTCACAGGAGCAGAGCCCGTGATAGGGAAATGCAGTGGTTTTTGGTTCATACAGCAATATTTATCGATTTCCAGGCTGGAGCAATAAGGAATAGGTGTTAGGAGAGGGAGAGCAGTTAATATTACCGAGAACAATGCATAGAAATAAAGCGAAATGAACACTGCAAACTCATAAATAATAAGTAGATAGATTTAAATAGACCAAGTCCCAGACTCCACGTCACAAAATTTATTTATCAATCTAAGTTGTCGTCACTGGGGATGTCCTTCAGGCACAGCCTGAAATGAGGGTTGATGGGGGGTTCTGCCTCTCAACTTCATCTGGGAAACAAAATCTTCACCTTTGTTATGCACAGCAAGATTGGATGATACTCAGGAACATAGAGTGGACTCAGGCTGTGAGCTGGGCCTTCCCTGACCTTTTACCTTCATTTGTAGTATCATCAATCATATCTGCAGATTATTTTTTGTACCAACACCTACTTTTTGTCCTCTACAGTAATATCACATTTAATTTGACCTAACTTAGTACATCCATACTATAAAGATTAACCAGTAAAAGTCATAAAATGACACAGATACAGCTCCCATGGCCTCATATTTACAGTGAAATGACAAAAATATCTGCTGCATATCACTGCTCAGAGACCATAACCATAACACCCTTACACAACCAGAATTCTTAATGTTGCATTTTCTATAAGTTGGCACGAGTAGCAAGTACTTTCTAGACACTTTGTAAACACTTACCAACACTTTAATCTATATACTTTGCAATGTGAATGCAAGGTTAGATGGTTTTGCGAAGTAATCTACAGACATATGTGAATCTTTAATTGTTTTCCTCCATCACTTTGGTGGGAGCAGTCCTATGTTCAAGAATTTCCAAGGTATCATACTTATTTCCAAACCATATTAGTAACTCACTAGACAAGGAATCTTGCTGTTACTTTAGTCGGAATTTGGAGAAGACATAATCATGAATATTTGTTAGTTACTTGTTTGTTACTTGGAGTTTATAATCAACGAAAACATTAACTTAAACTGCACCACTTCTCTAAACCATTATATCTTACTCAAAATTAAATCATTTTGACCTATGGCACCGGTTATTACATAAAACATAACTATAAAACAAACCATAATAATTAACGTTATCTCGTTCTCACCTGCAGCTGCCGGTACTCTCTGCCAACATTGTGACACTGAGCGATGTAAATGTCTCGATAGTAAAGAGAAAGACATGGTTTTCCTCAATGAATTACAGAGGACACCCTTTCCAACTCGTCTCCTTCGCCATATGTAAATAAACCCTACCCGCGTAGCTCCCGCACGGAAATCAGGAGGGAGTTTGTTATGATTTCAGGAAATTTTCTTCAGTCAAATAAATTCACTTATTATTAAAGTTTATTGTTTTAAAGGCCTATAAAAGAAAGAAGAAGTGTTTATTGTTTGTTCCTCCAAGAGAAGCAAATCATTTCTGTTGTTATTGCTTCTTATGGAATATCAGCTAATTATTATGCCGAATCTGCATAAAAGGAATTGTGAAAGTTTTTTAAAGAAACTTATGGAATCATTATTAATCATATTGTTATTATCAGAATATATTCAATTATCTATTAAATAATTATCATCATTAAATCCGGTTACTATACGGAATACAGGAACAGCTATTATTTTCAATAATTGGAATACAGACTCACATATAACTTCTCTGATCATAATTATGACAACTTTCCTATATTCATGTGTGCAGTGAGTGTGCATGTTTGGGGGTAACACACTATATATGTGTAAATATATATATATATAATATATATATATATATATATATATATATAATATATATATATATATATATATATTATATGTATACATATATATCCTTGATCCGTTCAGTGTGATTCTTTGATCTGCCATCAGCCTACAGTTCCATGATACAGTTGTCAAAATCTTTATATGTAATAATAAATGATCTTACCAACACATCTGTTTTTATGAAAGAAGCAAACCGTTTATTTCGCTCTTTTGCATGTAGCTTACCTTCTTTCTGAGGGAGATGCTATGTTGATTATGCACTGAAAATCTCTCTCTCTCTCTCTCTCTCTCTCTCTCTCTCTCTCTCTCTCTCTCTCTCTCTCTCTCTCTCTCTCTCTCTCTCTCTCTCTCTCTCTCTCTCTTCTCTCTTCCTCTCTGTCTCTGTATCTCCCTCTTTTTCTTCCCCTCCCCCCCTCTCTCTCTTTCTCTCTCCCTCTGTCTGTCTGTCTCTCCCTCCTCTCTCTCTTCCTCTCTCTCTTCCCCTCCCTCCCCCCTCTCTCTTTCTCTCTCCCTCTGTCTGTCTGTCTGTCTGTCTGTCTCTCTCTCTCTCTCTCTCTCTCTCTCTCTCTCTCTCTCTCTCTCTCTCTCTCTCTCTCTCTCTCTCTCTCTCTCTCTCTCTCTCTCTCTCTCTCTCTCTCTCTCTCTCTCTCTCTCTCTCTCTCTCTCTCTCTCTCTTGCGCTTAAATATTATTTCTATTGCCTTGGCGGAGGTATGTGCTCTCTGGGTGCTTCTAGTTCGTACTTATTACAGTCACTTACTGATTAAGATAATGCATGGAAAATCACTGAATATAGTAGCAGTATTCATTTAAAAAAATAATAATAATTACGACCTCCTCTTTTCCCTCCCCACCTCCCCTCTCCTCCTTTCTCAGTACCCTCTCCCCCTTTCCTTTATTATTATATAAAAGAACATGTATGTGTGTATATATTCTTATTCGTATGTATAAACAATTGTAGTCATATATCATCTATTGACCGAAATTCTTACTATGTCGTTCCAGCTGCTGTCATGATTGATTTCAAATTTTACCCATATCGAATACAGTAGCACTGAATACAGTAGCAGTATTGATTAAAAAACAAAAAACAAAACATAATTACGACCCCCTCTTTTCCCTCCCCACCTCCCCTCTACTCATTTCCCATCACCTTCTCCCCCATTCCTTTATTACTATAAAACCAATATGTACTTGGCAATACATATTTGATGTATTGCTAAAAAGGCAGTGAAACATTTTTTGTTAGAAATTCAGAGCACACATATGTCTACTGTGGACTTACCAGGAGTGAATCCAGATTGCACCGGTCTCTGGTGCCTTAGTAGATGGTCTCGGATCTCTCTCTGAAGAATGTGGGCGAGAACCTTGTGTTGAACAGTGTGATGCCGCGATGATTGTTGCAGTGCCAACTATCCCCTTTTCCCTTCCTATGTGGGATGACCGCACTCCTCAGCAGGTCAGGAGGGATGGATTTTGCCCCTAGCCGGATAAGGAGAGATATTGCCGAAACAAAAACTATAATATAGTTACTGGTAAAGTCTTTATTTCAAATCCAAAGAAGTGATAATATATTAGGTTTAAAATTATTTACTTTTTAATAATAAGCCATATTACACCGAATGATGTCTTTCTTTTATAAATAAATCAGATGAACATTCATTTGACCAACGAACATAATCAACCCCCTCCTACGCGCCAAAGACATGAAGGTCTCTCCAGAAGTTATTTACGAATTCTTGGATAAAGTTGGAGCCAAAGTGCCATTGTGGAACACCATATATAAGGATTATAAAATCAGGAATCCGGAAAGAACATTAATGGATGAAATAAGCAAGGAACATCACCATGAGTGTTGTGAATACTGGACTGCTATGATGGGTCTTTCCGAAGGGATACTGTGCGCAGTGTGACTAATCCCAAACTGTAGCTGACCAGACCTCGGCGAGGCTGTCTAAGGATCCCAGGACAGGAAAGACTAGTGTGACTGTCGCTTAAAAAATGGCCTTCGACCTCCTCGGCGTGATTCCTGATTCCTGACTGCTCCTTGTCCCATCTCAATAGTATCAGAGTCCTGCGCACCAAGCCACGTGACATGCAGCCGCCAACGTCTTCTTTGAGATGAAGTTCTGCCTTAATCTTGGGCATTTGCCAAAGGACTCCAGAACTGCTCGAAGGAGTTTGACAGAGTTAAAGGACCCGTCAGATTTTCAAGTACCTCAGATTGATCAGAGATGGCAGTGAACCCTCAAGCACACTCCTCCCTTAATTTGTCCAGATGAAAGGCCCTAGGGTAGACATTTTGTTCTTGCTCCTTTCTTTAGTGTCATTAGCTTATGTTCAACAGATGAAGCAAAATGTAAATAAAAATAAAAAAACTGATAAAATTAATAGAAACAAATAAAACAACAAAATCAATAAAAAATTACGTTCTTAAGTCCTTATCACTGTAGCTGCAGCGGAAGTCAATTCAGGTTTGCCTCCTGCTACCTTAACTAAGACAGGCACAAATAAGACAGTGCGAAACGACATGCAAAGGGTTTCGCTCCCTGCTTTCAAACACCTTCTCTCACATTGCGCAACTTTACCTCCCTTCCACCCGCCTTAACGTCTTGTTGTGTCCTCCCCTTTTCCTGTTTTATTATTTGCAAGGGAAGGCCTATGTCCAACAACGAATTTTGTATATATATATATATATATATATATATATATATATATAATATGCGTATATTTATATATATATATATATGTATATATATATATATTATATATATATATGTATGTATGTATATATATGTATGTATATATATACATACATATAATATATATATATATATATACATATATATATATATATATATATATATATATATATATATATATATATATATATATGTGTGTGTGTGTGTGTGTGTGTGTGTGTGTGTGTGTGTGTGTGTTGTGTGTATATGTATATATATATATATATATATATATATATATATATATATATATATAAACACACATCTACATGTATGTGTATGTATGTATATACAAATGTGTGCTAATACCATTTGGGCAGTGGTGCACTTGATAGAAATTTCATTACATACCTAAACAAAACTGTACATAGCTACTGCACTTACAAATTTCTTGCTCGTATATCTAAAAACGGTAAGAACTGCACCGTTAGATTTATCCCCTGATGCGTCTCCCAAAACCTATTCCCGGGAAGTGAATCGTGGGGAAACGAACGGAAAATTTTTAATACAAATGAACCGTCGCTTACTTCGTTTCGGAACTTTGGAACTCGAATGTTTTAGTTTTACGTAATAGATAATTCTGTATGACTTCCCTCGCAACGATGAAGATATGAGTAGAATAATCATTTAGGCAGCTCTCATTGCCTGTGGCTTGTGACGTCATAGGAGGTTATAAAAGCGCAAGGGAAGGCTGAAAACAATCATTCTGCAAAGGACGTCGGATCTACCAGAATAGTGTTATTATTGTAGTGTTTTATCCCTTTTTAAAAGATTTGTGTTTAGTGTCTATTCATTCATTACATCTGCTTATTCTTTTATTTTTTATTGGTCTAATTTTATATTATATATATATATATATATATAATATATATATATATATATATATATATATATGTGTTGTGTGTGTGTGTGTGTGTGTGTGTGTGTGTGTGTGTGTGTGTGTGTGTGTGTGTGTGTGTGTGGTGTATGTATGTGTGTATTTATATATATATATATATATATATATATATATATATATATATATATATATATATGTGTGTGTGTGTGTGTGTGTGTGTGTATGTGTGTGTGTGTGTGTGTGTGTGTGTGTGTGTGTGTATGTATGTATGTATGTAGTATGTGTGTAAATATATATATATATATGTATGTATGTATGTATGTACAGATACATATAAGTGTTTGTTTATACATATACATATATATATATATATATATATATATAATATACATACATAAAATATATACATATATATACATACATACATACATATATATATATATATATATATATATATATATACATATGCATACACACACACACACACACACACACACACACACACATATATATATATATATATATATATATATATATATATATATATATATATATATATATATGTAGTCAAAACGAAGAGGTAGACTAACAGCGCCTTAAATAGTTTCATGTTTATTAATCAAACGTTTCGAAGATCAATCAAATCTTCATCCTCAGTGCTGTAATAATGAAGCAGACAAAAATGCAATTAGACAAATTCATTAATTGAAAGAAGTGTCTAGCTGGTAAACAAGGTGGTTGCGGTAATTGTGTTAATCAGCTCGGGTTTCATCTTTCGGATCAGCAATGACTCCGAGATAATGAGGTCTTGGCGAGATGAGTGTGAGGCCAGAATATGGAAAACTGTTTTAGAGAAAGGATGTGGGTGTTTGTGAGAGTGTTCTCTTATGGCCGAGAACGACGGTCTGCTCAGTGGAAGTCCAGTGCGAAATGACAAACCTTTATGTTCCAATATGCGGTGGTGTAACCATCGTGAGGTTTGATCCCACGT